CCCCATCCCCCTTCTGTTCTGAAATTTGATTTGTCCTTTTCATATGTGTTCATTTTTTTTTAATTGTATCCTTTGGTATATATGGTTGTGACAATTTTCTTCCACTATTTGATCTGAGGAAGTGGGTCTGGCCCACGAAAGCTCATCACCTATTAAACCATCTTGTTAATCTTTAAAGTGCTACATAGTCCTGTTTTTTATTAAAAACCCAGTTATTTAGACTTCCAGTTGGGCCTGGAATTTAATTTAGGCTCTGATTCAGTAAGGTACTTAAATGTATACTTCTCTTATTGATGCCTATGGGCATGTCTATAGGACGAGGTAGTGCATGGCAAGCTGAGGTGTAAATCTAGCCCACACTAGCCTGCCATGCAATAACTGGGTATATGGACTCTGCTACCATACACCAAAGGTTACCTTGTGTGATTTGTGCACTGTAGTTTCTACCAGCAATAGGCCAAAGGTGCTAGGGAATTGTTAGAGCCTATTTGGGCCATGGTTGAGTGCTGTAGATTTATGCCCCAGTTTGTCAAATACTAACTCATTATGGGAGACAAGTCATAATTGCAAGTTCCATGCTGAACAGAGGTGTTAGTTCACATAGTCCCATACTTCTAATTAGGTCCCAATTACCGTAATTTAACTCTCAGCAACTAAAAAGTTAGAATTGCAACTATGCCATCTAGACTATCCCATGATCTAACACTTGGCCTACTTTATTGTCTAGTGCCTTGACCTATCTGGATCAGGATCTAAATGTCCCAGGTGACTTGAGCAGCATGATTTCCCATACAAAACCAAATCAAATACCTTTCAGGAAATGTTTCCTGATATTCAGTCTAAACCTTTGACTGATTTAATACCATCATTCCTACTTACACCCATTGTCCCACCCTAAATAATTCATTTTGCTGTTTGATGTGCGTAGCGCGTGCTATCATGTCTGGTTTATTTTTAACCATTCTTGGGTGACACCATCACACTCCAATAAACAGGATAACATTGATTCCTCTCATTTAGTCACTAAGCTTTTTTTATTCTTTCATTATTATCTGAGCCAAGTATATGTAAGAAAAAAGTCTGAAAACTTTTTGTATCTAGTGTGAAATGATTACAGAGAAGAGATTGAAATTGCATTTTAAGCAAAGTCTTTTATGGGAATATGTAAGTCATTTACAGTTGCAGTGCAATTCTTTACTCATGGAATTGCATAAAGAGCTTTAAAAACTTTTACTTAAGCTTTTTGATGCCACTGGATATAGATATCAATGTCAAGGATTCCTCTGTATGCTAGCTGATGTGCAGTGTAACAAGGGCAAGGATGTGTAGCCTTACAATATCCATTCTAATGCTTGGCTCGAGGTGTTAATTGCAAAGAACATTGGAAACTGAAAGCCAAATAAAAAGATTACTGTCATTTATGTCAGCAAAATTCTGCTTGCTACTCATTCAGTGTTAGGGACTCAGTAAGGTATCTAACTGGTATAGACAAAGTTGTACTTTTATCATTAGTTTTATCAATACAAAGAGAATGGTAGTGCTTAATAAATATTGGGTGATGAATAACCCCTGACCTTTGACTTCCTTCAAGCCAGTAACTCCAGAGTGATGTATTGTAAGACTCCATTTGGCTTGGCCAATTTATTACACCCATTTCAGGAATTGCATTGCAAATGGTAAGTCACCCACGTTGTTGTTTCGCTTTGTTCATGTACTCCGAGATATTTTGCAGCAAGATTGCAAATGGTAAGTCACCCACGTTGTTGTTTCGCTTTGTTCATGTACTCCGAGATGTTTTGCAGCTTAGTTTCCTGTGTAAATGTACTTAATTGGTGACATTGGCGCCTCAGAAATCAAGCTGTCTGTCTCATTGAAGATATCCATTTCACCGGAGTGATTCGTGTTTTTTAGCCTGGTTAGCCGGGACTGTAATTTTTCATGTTGTCTTCTCAGCTCTGAATAGGAATGGGAGAAAGTGTGGAAGATTGAGGTGGCTGGGAAAGCCATAATTAGAATCCCACTGAGGATGCTACTCAGAGCCACCATCTGGCCTGGGACACTTCTTGGGACCATATCTCCATATCCCACCGTGGTCATTGAGATAATAGCCCATTCAAGGACCTTCCCAGATTCATTCTCAGCCAAGTAGACCAGGGGAGAAAACAGGGTGACCGCTACACACAAGAAGAGCAAAAGCAGGCCAAATTCACGGGTGCACCTTCGAACTGTGAGCCCCAAAGTCTGCAGGCCTAAGGAGTGCCTGGCAAGGCGCATTACATACAAGATCCTCAAGGCACGTAAGACTCGTAGCACCAGTCCGATCTTCTCCAGATATGAGTTGCTGCTTGGCCTCTCGGCCTCCTCACTTGGCTCATCATCAACCACTATGAGGGAAACATAATAGGGTGAAATAGCCAAGAAATCAATGATGTTCAGGGGCCCTTTGAAGAACTCACACTTGCTCTCCGCCTGAATGAATCGGAGGCAGAGCTCCAGCGAGAACCAGGCCACGCAGATGGTCTCGATGACAAAGATGTAATAGCACTTCTGAGAACATTCACCCTGGTGCAAAACAAACAGAAGGTCAAATAAATGAGCAATCCCTGAACTGATATCAGAAATCATTAGAGAAGCAGAAATATGTATCCTGTGGGCATAGTGATGGTGGTGGTGGGGGGGGGGAACAAACCCAGCAAATAGCTACTTCAACAGCAGTCACTATGGGTTTGTCTAGACTACATGCCTCCGTCGACGGAGGCATGTAGATTAGACAGATCGGCATAGGGAAATGAAGCTGCGATTTAAATAATCACGGCTTCGTTTAAGTTTAAATGGCTGCCCCGCTCTGCCGACCAGCTGTTTGTCAGCAGATCGGGGCAGTCTGGACGCGCTGCAGTCGACAAGGAAGCCTTTGTCAACCGGCGCAGGTATGCCTCGTGAAACCAGGTTTACCTGCACCGATCGACAAAGGCTTCCTTGTCAACCGCGGCGCGTCCAGACTGCCCTGATCTGCCGACAAACAGCTGATCAGCTGTTTGTAGGCTCAGCGTGGCAGCCATTTAAATGTAAATGAAGCGGCGATTATTTAAATCGCGGCTTCATTTCCCTTTTTCGAATAAACTAATCTACATGCCTCCGTTGGCGGAGGCATGTAGTTTAGATGTACCCTCAAAAAGCAGTTGAAATGCTCTTTGAGTGAGCTGGCATGTGTGTTAATTTTACTTGGATGAAATTTATCTTTGTGGAAAGGCTCAGCACAAGGCCTATGGACTCTTTACATCATACGTTAAGCCCTGAAAATAGAATTTAGACACTTAAATGGTACATGAATCTGCACAGAAGTAAACTTAACCGTAATTAGGGTACGTCTAGACTGCAAGCTTCTTTTGGAATAAGCTTTTCCCGAAGAGCTCTTTTGGAAAAGCTTATTTCGAAAGAGAGTGTCAACGCACAAAAAGTGCAATGAAATAGCGATGTGCTATTTCAGAAGATAGCATCCAATCAGTGTGGATGCTATCTCGTATTTAAGGCCACCCAGAACCAGTTCAGGTAGGGCATTAGGTCAGCATTTGCTTCTGAGTGCTGCTGTCTAAGGCTATCTGAGGTGCATTCTTGACCCCCTTGGACAGCAGTGTATCAGCCTCTTCTGCTTCCTTGCCTACCTCTCCGAGGGACAGCAAAGCATTTGCCGTGCGTGCTCTGGTTGCCCACCTCAGAACTCCTTGCCATGGAACGTGCTCTGGTTGCCCTGCTTTAGGACACCTCAGAATTCCTTGCCATGGAGCCTCTGGGCATGCAATGGCCCCAAGCTGCAGTTTTTGCAGCAGTTTCTGCAGGCTGCCTTCATGGCCCTGCATGAACTCGACTCAGAGCTCATCCTTGAGAACCTCTGCCAGTGTGTGGGAGCAAGGCCCTTGCAGCCGCACCCCATGGTGGAGAGACGCTTTTGCAGGCTGGACACCAGTTCTGACTGGTGGAACTAGCTGGTGATGGAGCAGTGGGATGACCAGCATATTGGGTCGTTTAATGTAATGAAGGAAAATAGTTAAGAGATGAAGACCTACTAGGTCATTTAGACCTTGGCCCTCGTTGTGTCCTAGTATGAACCACATCTTTTCTTCCTGTGGATGCAAAAACCAAAAGGAAAGTGAAATAAAACTCACCCATCCAGCAGGTGTAGCATACTAACAGAGTTTTCTGTCTAGCACTGAGGCTACATAATACTAGTGCTACCTTCTGAACCACTACATCGAGACAGTGAATTCATCACAGTCCAGGGCAACTGATGTTTGTCTAACTGTTTCTTTTGTCCCAGGCTGAGCCTAAAAATGTTACTTCCCACGATTTGCTCTACTTGAAGGCAAGAGTCAAACCCAGCTTGCCATTCCCATCCCCTCAGTCACTTAGGAACTGGATAAAAACATCACGTTATCTAAGTGATAATTTAGCCAAATGTTGGATCTACTGGGCAATGTCCAGAAGATCAGAGAACCATCCAGTGGTGGCGTTGGATATAGTATGTCAGAGCCTTGGCTGGTATAAATCGGCCTTCTGGCCCACCAGTGTCCACGTTGTTAGAATTCACTGGGCCATAGCACACTGAAGCTAAACTAGATAATAATCAGCAATATTCAGATCCTGGCAGGTATTTCCATGCCATTTAAGTGCCTAAATATCTCTAAGGATCTGGGTCTGGATTGTGCTCTGTCTCTCTAATGCTTCATAGTATCCCTGATTTGTTCTTGCCTTAAAATATGGTCCACCTGTCCTACAGATTAACACCTTAAAATCCTACACCTTGGGATATTAAATTAATATGATACTTGTTCTTGATGTTTGACTAACACTGGAATGTTCCTTTAAATATTGTTAATAAACCTCTGGAAAACCACCATTGTGACAAAGACTCAAAAGACATAAGAACGGCCATAGTGGGTCAGACCAAAGGTCTATCTAGCCTAGTAGCCTGTTTTCTGACAGTGGCCAATGCCAAATGCCTGCAGAGGTAAAGAACAGAACAGGGAATCATCAAGTGATCCCTCTCTTGTCACCCATTCCCAGACTCTGACAGAGGCTAGGGACACCATTTTTTCCCATCGTGGCTAACAGCCATTGATAGACCTACCCTCCATGAATGCATCTAGTTCTTTTTTGAACCCTGTTAAAGTCCCAGTTTTCATAACATCCTCTGGCAAGGAGTTCCTCAGATTGATTGCACACTGCATGAAGAAAAACTTCCTTTTGTTTCTTTTAAACCTGCTGCCAATTAAGACATGGTCACTCATATAGTTTCACACCAAGACGATGTAACTGTGAGGGAGCAAATCAGCAATGGGCTTTGAAGCAGGGGCCACACATTTTTCCTCGCTGAATAGATATTCAGAAGGAAGGCATCTCAAATGCATTAGCTGTGCAGTCCTTGCGAGGGATAAGAATTCAATTTTTTCTCCCATAAATCCAGGAGGTTTAATAAATGAGAGCAGGAGTGATGGGTTAGTAAAATACTTCTCTCATCCTCCATTGAAATTTCATGCTGGGATTACACTAATTAGATTGCCAGGGAGGCTATAATTATGGACACAGGAAAGCAACGAGGGGATGATGAGGAGCAATAATTTTAGCTAATTTTAGCTACTGAAAAATCTGCTTTCAGGGATAGATTGTGGCTGGCCTTTTGTGGGTGTGGAAAGGCCTGGAGAATCTCCAAAGAGTCTTCATTTCCTTTACACAAGATCCAACTATAGACAAAGTTATTATTTGTTCCCATAACATAAGAACTAGGGCTCACCAAATGAAATTAATAGATAGAAAGTTTAAAAAAAACCAAAAGGAATGTTTTCTTCACACAGCACAAAGTCAACCTGTGGAACTCCTTGCCAGAGGATGTTGTAAAGGCCAGGACTTTAACAGGGTTCAAAAAAGAACAAGGTAAATTCAAGGAGGTTAGGTCCACCGATATTTATTAGCCAGGATGGGTAGGAATGGTGTCCCTAGCCTCTGTTTTCAGAGGCTGGAAACGGATGATAAGAGAGGGATGACATGATGGTTACTTGTTCTGTTCACTCCCTCGGGGGCAACTGGCATTGGCCACTGTCGGCAGACAGGATACTGGGCTAGAAGGACCTTTGGTCTGACCCAGTATGGCCATTCTTGTGTTCTTATGTTCACAACTGCATTCCTGTGCTCAAAGACAGCTCCCTGGCAACACCCCTCAACATCAGGGAGAGAGAGACAGACCATCTGCAGAAAAGGATCATGAGCGAACAGGTAGCCCTGTGGGCCTGCTTCTTCAATGGGCTGGGGGGAAAGAGGAAGCCTTGTGCTTTTTCTGAGCAGCAGGCTTCCATTCCCAGAGCCCAGGGGAGACACAGCATCCTAGCACGTGTCTTAAGGGCACCGTCCAGCCAGAGCGGGCAGCGGCAGCGATTCCGAGCTTCAGAGCTACGCGTGTGACTTGACTTTGGAAGGAACTTAGTGAGGAATAGATCACAGAACTTTCCTCCCTTCAGCTGCCTGCTCTGAGATTGCCCTTGGGGGAGGTGTCCTGATGCTTGGCTTTAGAACAAGCAGTTTGGGTTTTATCTCTAGCTTCAGGACTGACTAGTGAAAGCAAGCCCTGTGAAAGATAATGAGGAAACAGCACCTTTTGCTTTATTCATAGAGGGTGAGATGTTAGCCCCATTGAAGTCAGTGCCATGGACTTCAATGGGCTGCACATTACGTGTGGAGAGTTGCTGAGTTGGCTTGATGTAATTGCTTATAATCAGCAGTCACAGTATGCAGAGTTTTTCCAAGATGTAAATTATTCTTTCAGCACAGTCTGTACTGTCTGCCTGTGGTCACTCCAACGACTTGACTTGTGAATTATTCATTATTTTCAGGCGCGATTTAAAATTTTTGCTAACTGGGCTAAATACAGGAACATCAACTACTTCATTTAGCTTTGTACATATGGGCTCATGTGCCACATGGAGGGAGGTTATCGAAGATACAATGAAACATTCCAGCAATGTGCTTCTTTTGAGATGCCACATCTCTCTGTCAGGCCCCTCAGCCTTCATGAGTCTCCCCTTCCAGGAAACAACAGGGAAAGGAGTCTTTTGGACAAAAATTTTAGCCATTAAACAAAATGGTTGAAGCTGCCTCCTGAATTGAGAGGTGAAATTTGAGGTACAATTTCTTCAGAATGGATTCATTTATTTCACCTCAGACCTTTTGTTACCTTCTCTTCCTGGCCCCAGCTCATCAGACAGTAAAAACCTCTGCTTCTTTCCCTTGAAATTTGAATGATCATCTTCTCAAATTTACTAAATCCCAGTTTCAGTGGGAAAGAGCCTTCTACTGGGACATATTAGGAAAGGAAATCTTTTTTTATTCCTGCTACTACGTATCTGAGATGGCCCACATAAAGGCTGTGTCTAGACTGGCCAGTTTTTCCGGAAAATCATCTGCTTCTCCGGAAAAACTTGCCAGCTGTCTACCCTGACCGCTTGAATTTCCGTAAGAACACTGACTTCCTACTGTAAGAAATCAGTGCTTTTTGCTGAAATACTACGCTGCTC